AGTATTTTTTATCTTAAATGTGTTCATGTTTTGCCTGCATGTATGCATGTGCACTACATCCTTTCCTGGTGCAAGGGAGCATCCGATTCCCTGGAACTGGAGTTACAGATGTTTGTGAGCCACTGGGTGGGTGCTACAAATCAAACCTGGGTCCTATGGAAGAGCAACAAATGCTCTTAACTACTGATCCATCTCTCCAGCCCTGCCTTTTATTTTTAAAGATTTCTTTTATTTTGTGCACTATATGTGTGGCTGGTGCTGGAAGAAGCCAGAAGAGGGTGTTGGATTCCCTGGAACTGAAGTTAGAGGCAGGTGTGAGCCACCATGTGGGTGTTCGAAACTGAGTCTGGTCCTCTGCAAGAACAGCCAGTCCTCTTAATGGATGAGCCAACTTCCAGCCCCTACCTTTGCCTTTAATTTTTTTTTTTTTTATTTAATAAGCTTGGACTCGTTGAAACTTGATGTGTAAACCAGGCAGGTTTTAAACTCTGTTCTTGCCTCCTGAGTGCTGGACTATAGATATAAGCTACTTCGCCCAGATTTAATTTTTTGCTGTTTCTGAGGTAGCAGGTCCAAGTTGCCCGGGTTGGGCTTGAATTCACAATGCTTCAGTCTTGGCCTCCCAATTAGCTGGGAGGTGGGTCAGTATCATTTTTGTAATTTTGTTTGCCAGCTGGGGATGTCCTCCGTGGTCAAGCAGTTGCCTAGCATGCACAAAACCCAGGCTTGTCCCCAACACCACCTACATAAATAATCTTGACTTTGGATAAAAATAAACACCCTTTTTGAGAAAATGAAACAGAATTGTAAAATAATACCATAACATATCCCATCTTCCCCAAGCCCTGCTCCCGGAGATCCTGGTTTCTCTGAGGTGCCTTGTGATCTCTGAAAGAATTGGGAAGTCAGGGCAGGGATGGCTTTACCCCACTGCCTTCTCCTCTGTCCACAGAGGAGACCACCCGCTCCCCGTGATAGCCCATGATGGTTCCGCAGTGCCCCTAACTTCCTGAGTTCTGGAAGTGAAGCATCGGAGGTGGCACAGGATCCTGTGCTGTCACATGGATCTAATCAATTTTGCCCGCCAGCTATTTGAGTCATCTGGTTTTGATTCAGCCTAATGCCACTTCCTCCTACTCTTTTTTCAGGCAAGAACGGGACAGGAAAGACCAAGTCTTTCTCTAGAGCGAGAGTCATGGGAGTGGGAGACAGGCTCTCCCTGGTGGCTTCCAGGAAGGATGCTCCCAGGCTCCTAGCTTTAGCACTCTTGCCTTGAGGACAGCAGTGGGTCCTCCCTCACCATACCTGGGAAGGTCAGTTAGGAACGTCAGTCTGACCAGCGCCCAGCACGTCTCCCTCATCTATCTAGCTTAGCTCCTTCCTCCGTTCCCCTTGCATTCCCCTGGTGTTCCCCTTCTGTCCCCTCCATGATAGGAGCCCAGGTGCTTTCAGGGTTCTTAGAAGGACTTACACCAAGCCCAGCTTTCTCAGTCATAGGGGTTTCATTCCCTTATTAACAATGCAGAACATGCCTTCTAATCCTCCAGAGTTTATCTCTAAGGCTGTGTCATCTGTCACTCTTCCTAGACAACCTGAAGCCACGCCTGCCTTCCTTCTCTGTGACTGCTACTACGGGTTCCTTCCTCCCCTGGGCCCCAGTCCTGGAGCAAGCCCAGCACCTTCCTTGCAGATACTAGGCAAGAGCTCTGCCACTGATTCCACGCCAGCCTATTGGGTAGATAGGAAGGCAGGCAGACTGGAACATAGTGGAACATAGGCCAGCCCATTCACAAGAACCAAGGGCACGGTAGTGTTCTTTTCCTGCAGGCTCCACAATTGCTCTTGTGAAGTAGGAGCCATGCAAAACTGGAGATTTTTTGAGACTTTACAACTAGCCCATGATGGTGTCCACATCCCAACCCTCCCTCTGCCTCTCAAGTATTGAACTTACAGATGGAGGCCATCATGCCCAACTTTTCTTCGTCTGGCTGCTTCTGCTTCCCAAGGGCCGGGACTAAAAGCTAGCACTACCATGCCCGGCTTCCAACTTTTTTTAAATTACCGATTCCTATTTTTATTTTTCTGACTCTTCTACCAGAATGTAAATTCCATGAGAGCAAAAAAGGCATACTTTTTACTGTATCCTCAGCATCCAGTGCATCATGGGTGTTTGAGATTTTTTTTGGGGGGGAGGGGGTAGGGGTTTTCAAGACAGGGTTTCTCTGTGTAGTTTTGGAGTCTGTCCTGGATCTCGCTCTGTAGACCAGGCTGGCCTTGAACTCACAGAGATCTGCCTGACTCTGCCTCCCAAGTGCTGGGATTAAAGGTTCGCGCCACCACCGCCCAGCAAGAAATTTTTCTGAAGTCAGGCATGTGGTTCGCTCCTGCAATCCTCTCCCTGAAGAGGTGTGCCGAAGCAGGAAGACTGCTTTGAGTTTGATGTCACAGGGGGAGACCATGTCTCAAAACAGCCCCCCAAATAATTTTTGAATATTTTTATTAAATAAATGTAATGACCATGGACTGAGGTGCGTTCTTGTCCTTAGAATTGTCTGACATGAAAAAGCTAGAAATAGAATGTACTGAAATCAGGGCCAAACTAAGGGGCAGGTTTTCAGGCATCTAAGTCTGTTGGGCTTTTGCCAAGAGCCACATAGAGCCCAGGATAGAACCACCTGGCTCTAGGGCACCAGGTGACTCACTTAGGCCTCCACTGTGAGCAGCCAGCAGCTGCAAGGCTGACTCATCCTGGAGAGTACTCAGAGGGTACCTCGACCCACTGTCTTTTCCAACAAGAGAGGGCCTGCTATGGCCAACTCTGCTCACTGAGGACCGTGGAAACAGCTGCTGTATGCCTGGCCTCCAGTCTTCCATACCTCCTACTTCACAAGAGACACTGTGGAGCCTGAAGGGGAAGGACACCTACCTTGCCCTTGGGTCTAGGGAGTGGGGTAACCCATGTTCCAGTCAGCTTGCCTTCTTATCTCCCGGATAGGTGGGTCAACTACATGCTCAGAGAAAGTTACTGCTTGCTTGGCCAGCAAGTAGCTGACCTGCCTTTGTGTTCTGAACTATAAAAGGGAGCAGGCCAGCAGGAGGAGGCCAAGCCAGTGAGAATCCCCTCCTTTGAAGAGAGTCCAAGACCGGGGCTGGCCATCCTGGGAGGAGCAACTGACCCTAGCCTAGCGTTTTTCTCTACAGTGGAGAAAAGGACAACTGCCCTTGTTTCTCAAAGCTCCGGCAGAACGAGAGACCTTTTCTTTCATCTTCCCCTCCTCAGAGGCACTTCTGCTAGAAGCCAGAAAGCTGGGCTCAGGTTCCAGGGAGTCTTCCTAGCTAAACACTGACCCCTTCCAAAAGCCCCCTTCCCTAGCCTTTGCCCTGCCTGCAGGGTTTGCCTCTATCCAGCTCAGAAGGCAAGGGCCCTCAGCTTTCCTCTGGCGATCCCCCAGCGGCAGTCAGGCTGGCTTTGCCTCTGTCCACGGTTCTTAATCCACCAGGGAACGAAAATGACTCATTAACATCTCCCAGGCATTCTCAGGGCACCTTGGCGTCTGATCCCTATTCTTTCCCCATTAGGGTAGCCTGTCGGGAATGATCTCCAGTGTAAGTCAGAGGTGAAGTAACTTGCCCAAGGTCACACAGTGGGAACGTAGCAAAAAGATTCGTCTTCTGCCTGGCAGTTTGGCAGATGCTCAAATCTTTGTGGAAAGGGTGAGATATGTTTCTACATCTCTCCAGCCTCTGGGAGCGTCTTTAATGAGGGTGGGAGGGCTGTCCGTCTTCCCAAACGAACATTTCATCTCCTTAGTTCACTCTCACTTTCAAAGTTAGATTTAACTCTAATGTCTCTGTGTTCAAGTGGAGAGATCAGACCGATGCCCCCTCCTCCGAGAGCACAAAGTACATAGCCCGGTGATCTTTCTTCTCCAAAGACCAATAAATAAACAAAAATATTTCCCCCCAAATAAACAGCTCTACTTCTTCGCAAAATGTGCAGCCCCAAGTCCAGCCCGAGGCGCCCCAGCACCCAGTCCGCAGACACTGCGCCGGTCGGCGGGGAGGGGAGGCCGCGCGGCGGGGAGCGGGTGGGCGCCAGGCGCGCTGCCAACCTCCGCCCGGCCGCACCGCGGGGGCCGCCGCCCCTCGCCACGTGGTGGTGGTGGCAGCCGCGGGGTCCCGGGCGCCGGCCCAGCTGGAGAGACCCGGAGCAGCCGGGGAGGAGGAGGCGGAGGAGACGGCGGCGGCGGCGGCGGCGGCGGCGGAGGAGGAGCGGGGCGGGCGAGCGGGAGGGAGGGGGCCGGGAGGGGAGGGGAGGGGGTGGGGAGAGACCCGGCGGCGGCGGCAGGGCGCGGAGCGGCGCGCGGTGCCAGGGGGTGGGGGCGCCGGGGCCGGGTCAGGGGAGGGAGCCGGCGGAGGGGTGCGCTGCGACTGCGAGCAGGAGCCCGCGGCGGCCGTGAGTGCGGGCCGGGCCGGGGGGGGGGGGAGGGGCGCGGCGGGCGCCGGGGGGGGGGGGGCGGGAGGCCGGGGCCCGGGGCGCAGGGGGGGGCGAGCGCCTGGGCCCCGGGGCGGCGCGGGGAGGGGTCGTGCGCCGCCGCCCGCCGCCTGCCGCCAGCCCGACCGCCGCCGCTCAGCAGCCCGCCCCGGGGCCCGGCCGCGGTGGGGGAGGGGGCTGCGCGGTCTCGGCCCCCGGGAGGGGAGGGGCGGCCGTTTCTGTCGGCCGATCCCGACGGCGGCAAAGAGCAGCTCTTTAAGGGGCCGCGGGAGGGGCCCGGCCGGTACGGGCGCCCCCTCCCCGGTCGCCTGCGCGGGCGCTGGGCGCGCGGCCCCAGGATGCGGAGGAAGGAAGGCAGCTTGGGTCTCACGGCAGGGGTGTGTGGGGACACCGAGTCCTCGAGTGGGGGCCGGCCCGAGGTCGTGGGCAGGGGTCGAGGGTGTGTGTGTGTGTGTGTGTGTGTGTGTGTGTGTGTGTGTGTGTGATGAGCGCGGGCCAGCGGAGTAGGGGGAGGGGGTGGCGTGGGCAAGAGAGGGTTAAAGGTGGGGCCAGCCCTACAAACCCGCGCACACGCTCCTTACTCAGACCTGTCACACGCGTCTCGCCCGCACTTAGCCCGGGCTGGGGGAGGGGACCGGGGCCTGCACGGTCGGAACCCGCGCCTCCGGGCCGAGCCCCCTGGCCGAGGCGCACACACGCTCCAGCGCGCGCACACACCTCGGACATTCCCATAGTGCCTCACGTGACACTCGGCCCGAACGTGCCCACCCTGCCCACACGCTCACGCACGCGTGCTCACACGCGCGCACACAACCTCTGGCCGCTTCCGAACTCCCGCACTGACCCCCGTCCTCCGCCCCGCAAAGGCGCTCATTGACGGCGGCACACCTCCACTCATTCACAGACACACACTACCCCCACATGCCAGCCACAGCCACACATTCATAAACAGGGCAGGGAGAAGTACACACGCACCCCCTCGCTGCCTACTCGTTTGGGAGCCCTGAGTCATTCCTGCCCCCTCTCAGGGCTCCCCATGTCCCTGAGTGCAGGCACGACGGGACAGGCTGGAGTCTCCTTTAGGGGTCCCCGTCCCCCTAGGCCCCCTTGCCCGGTTTGCTGCCCCTGACACTCAGCCAAGGACTTCCTGTAGGTCCCAGGTCAGGGGCTGGCTGCGCCTGGACGGTTGCCACAGCCCCGGTGCAGTTAGGGAGGCACTTCCTTTTCCTGAACTCTGGGATCCTGCGAGAGGAAGTTGGGCGGGGGCCGCAGAGGCCAGGCTGACCGGTGGGACTGGCCCTCCAGAAGCACTGGCCTTTCTTAGGAGCAAGCGACAGAGGCCTGGGATGGGAATCTTGGCGGCTGTCGAGGTATTTGGGAAAACAGAGGTCTGGGGAGGAGACCAAGCTGAGCCGTCCAGCCAGGTTCTAGGTTGTGCCAGTGTTGGGACAGCAGGCCTCCCATCTGGTCTCTCTGGGTTCTGGAAAGAGTCCTTCCCTGCCACTGTGGCTTCCTTGACCCTCTATCAGTTGTCCCCAGACTGCGCTCATGCGGTCCATCTGGTTCCATCTCCTTCCCCTACAAGCAGTGACAGCAGAGGACAGATGTAACCTTCTGAGGGAGAGTGTGTTGTGGAATCTGGTCTCCCAGCTACCACAGGGTCCTCAGCCCAGCATGGGGGAGCTGGGGACAAGCACCGGGTGTTCCTCTTCATGCTCTTCCTGCTCTCTCAGGAGGCCCAGTGTGGGCTGAAGCCCTTACCATGGAGTCCATGTTTGAAGATGACATCAGCATCCTGACCCAAGAAGCTTTAGGGCCCAGTGAGGTGTGGCTGGATGGTCCTGGAGACGCCTCGCTCGGAGGCGACATGTGTTCTGCCTCCCACTTTGCGCTCATCACAGCCTATGGAGATATCAAGGAGCGGCTAGGGGGCCTGGAGAGAGAGAATGCCACCCTCCGCCGGCGCCTCAAAGTCTACGAGATCAAGGTCAGAACCTGGATGGGCTGGGGAGTTGTATAGTAATGTTGCAAGGGCGGGAGGCATTCCACCAAGAGATTCCAAGGATGACAAAGAAGTCTTTAGAACTGGAGGCTCACCCTCGAAGAAGTGGCTACTCTGGTGTGTGAGCTCCACTAATCCTGCAGCCAACGGGGCGGGGGTGGGGAGCTCAGCTTTGGAGTGGCAGGTTCCACTGGAGAGGGCAGGGGTAGAAGTCTCTGAAGTGGGTTGTAGGGTTGGGGCAGAGTGGTGATTGGGTGGGAGCCAGGCTTCTCTGAGGACTGCCCTCCCACAGTACCCGCTGATCACTGACTTTGGAGAGGAGCATGGCTTCCCTCTGTATGAAATCAAGGATGGCTCCCTGCTGGAGGTAGAGAAGGTCAGTCTGCAGCAGCGGCTTAACCAGTTCCAACACGAGGTAAGCCCCTGGCCTTAGCTTCCCAGCCAGCCCAGCTCCCTAAGCTTCCTCCTTCCATCTGTTTCTGACTCCTGTCACCCTGCCTCATCCCCATCATGGCCTTGGATTAGAGGTGGCCCCTGCCCTCCCTAAATCAGATTCGGCTCTCCCTTATTCTATTGGGAATGGGGTTGGGGAGGTCCGTGGAGCCCCTCTGCTCCCTGTCAAGGGTGGCCCTGACCCTGGCACACCTCTCTGGGCCTACCCAGTTGCAGAAGAATAAGGAGCAGGAAGAACAGCTCGGGGAGATGATCCAGGCTTACGAGAAACTCTGTGTGGAGAAAAACGACTTGGAGACAGAGCTGGGGGAGATGGTGAGGCCCAGAGAGTGGGGGCGGGGTATTCCTGCACCTGATAGTGTGTGTATGAGCGTTCCAACCCTGTGACTGTGTGGTCCTGTGTGTCATACACACCCTGCTTGTGTGCATACCTCCTCTATCCACGTGTATCTATCTGGGAATGCCTGCTTTGCTTTGTGAGTGAGAGAGTGTCATCCAGGTCAGGGGTGGCTCTGTTCTTGGCTCTGCGGTGACCCTGTAGGATACTGGGCATTTGGCTCTCACACTGCATCGAACCTGTGCCTGGAGTGCTGTGCCTGGGAGAGGGTGTGAGTGACAGGAGGGGCCCAGAACTCTAGAGACAGATCTTGCCGTGAGTGTGGTGACAGTTAGCACGTGGCCATTTGTGTGAGTGTGTGGGCAGGTGGCAGGATCAGGAGACATGGCCTCTGTCAGCTCCTCACTGTGACCCTGGTCCAATTATTTGGCTTCCAGCCCTCATCTGAAAAGCAGGGTAAATGGTAACCCTCTCACTGAGCTGCTGTGAGGGTACTGGGACATTTGTGTAAAAGCGTTTTCCTTTTATAGTCGGAAGCATTTGTGAGGCACTTGCTGCATGCCAGGCACTGTTCTTATCCCTCTACGCACACTTACTCATTTTAGCTCTCACAACAATCAAAAGAGGTAGGCGTGGTACTGCTATCCCCATTTTATACATGAGGTAGACGAAGCCCAGAAGTGGTTAAGTACATATGCAAATGGAAGTTATGTTCGCAAGGGGGTGGGGTGGCTGGACCTAGAGCTGAATGTTTGTATAAATGTCCCTGTGTGATCGTGACAGAGAGGAGGCCTGGCGCTGACCTTGCCAGCCACAGTAGCCAGAAACATCTGCATTGCAGGTGCTGGGAGAGAAGGCCTCCCACCTGTGGCCACTTGGAGTGTGAGCGTGGGACACTCCAGCAGTCTCTGCTCTGGTTTGGGGAGTGCTGACTACCCAGCCTGGGGGACTCTTGGGTCTGGGAGTCCATGGGGCTCCCTGGTCCTGCATAGACTCTGAACCCTCCGTCTTTCCCTGCAGCGGGCCCTGGTAGAGACCCACTTGCGGCAGATCTGTGGTCTGGAGCAGCAGCTGCAGCAGCAGCAAGGTCTCCCGGATGCAGCCTTCCCCAGCCTGAGCCCCCCACCTGCCCCTGCCACACCCTGTCCTGACCTGGACCTGCACTATCTGGCTTTGAGAGGACCTGCCTTGGGTCATGGTGAGATCTCAGTGACCTCTGCCTTCCTGATCTCCAAATCTCCAGCTGTGACTCCCATTTCAGTATCACTGGGCACCTCTGCCTTGCCTAAAGTCTCAATACAATTTGTTTATTTGTTTGTTTGTTTGCTTGCTTGCTTGAGATAGGGTCTTACTGTATAGCCCTAGTTGGTCTGGAATTTACTATGTACACCAGGCTATCCTTGAACTTGGAATGATACTCCTTATTCTGCCTCCCTGGTGCTGAGATTACAATCATGTGACACTACACCTGACTCCTTCCAATAGCTTAAATCTGTTCAAAATTATTCCATTCTCCTCTCCAACTGTTCTTGCGCCTCAACCACCCCTTCACAAATTCTCCCACTGACATCCCTTTGCTATTCAGATCATACAGTTCTTGGGTGTGCCAGCAGAGGGCGTCCCCACTCAGCGTCCCCTTAGGCTGTGGTTAGAAGAGGCCCCTGAGGATGCTGGAGACTTCTGGTTCTAGCCTGAGCTACCTTCCAGAGGACATGTTCTCTGCCCCACCCCCAACCCCCTGGCCCACAGGAGGTCTGAATCTGCGTCTACCCTATCCTTATTTCTCTTGTAATGGTATCTCTCATCGTTGGGTGTTTGGCTTTCTGGCTCCTCTCAGTACCTGGGGCTGAGTCCCTACCCTACCTGTTTCACTTTGTGTGGGTCTGGGAGTCAACAGAGGCAGCCAGAGCCTACCTGACATGGTCTTGTCCCCTGACAGCAGGTTGGCCTGGCCCTACTAGCGTAAATGTGAGCGAGCTGGAGCGAAGGCAGCTGGAAGAGGCCTTGGAGGCTGCGCAGGGGGAGGCTCGGGGGGCTCAGCTTCGGGAAGAGCAGCTCCAGGCGGAATGTGAGAGGCTGCAGGGAGAGCTGAAGCAGCTGCAGGAGACGCGGGCCCAGGTAAAGGGGCTTTGGAGCTGCCCTTGGATGGGAAGAGCTAGACGAGCAGGGGAGGGGTGAGGCCGGAGGGGAGGCTGGGCTCTGACCGCTACTTTTCTCCTCAGGATCTGGCCTCCAACCAGTCGGAATGTGACATGGCTTGGGTAAAGAGAGTTGGGGACGATCAGTAAGTCATATCTGTAACCCTTGCCCTCTCAACCCCATACTCAGGGGACTGCCTCGGGTCCCCATCGTTTGCTTTCCATCCGTCCACATTATTTGAGTGGCCTCTTATCCTAGGTCTTGGGGTGTGGTGTCTGGGTTGCTTACACTTTAGCCCTGTTACAGGAAGTAGGGAGGGGCTCTGGAGTATTCAGGTTCTGGGACCAGGCCCATCTTTTCTCAAGGTTTGGGTTGGGGTGCACTCAGTAGCTCTGTCACCCTGTTCTGTGTTCCCTCGTGAGTTTTCTATACCAGAGACAAAACTCAGAGGTGAGTACGTCCACTGTCACCTGTGAGGAGGGAGATGGCCTCCCTCGTTTAGGATTTGACCTGCCTTGTCTGTTTATTTAAAGGGAGCGGTCGGTCCTTGAGATGGGTAGAGAGTAGAATCCCAAAGGAGAGAGGACCTAAAAAGTAGGGAAGAAGCTGTGTCGGGCGGGACAGGGGAGGTGCATGACAGGGGGGTCTTGGGATGTGCTGGGCAGCAAGGGTGGTGGGCAGTAGCAATGGAGGCCGGCGTCTTTCACAGCTTATCCTCACCCACTTCTGAGAAACAGTGCCTCAAGCTCCTTTTGCTTCATTCCTCTCTCATGTGAGATGAGGCTAGTTAGTGGTACAAGCTTTGTACATTCCTTACCAGAGAAGACGGGCCTGAGAGGGGCAGGAATTAACCTTCCCTCACAGGGCATACCCGGGTCCCAGGATCCCAGGGGTCCTCCCTCTCAACAGGTTTCCTTGGCATCCTACCCGCTTCTGGCCAGTTAGGGGTACCCCTTGCTTCCTTCCCCACCCCGGGGTGAGGGCCTGGGTGGAGCTGTGACAGCTGAGAGGGTGAGAACCTAGTTTGTGGGACTGATGGGGGAGACCCCTCCCTCAGCTAGGCTTCTGTGGGGGATGGGAGGGAGCTCTGCGGAAAGGGTCCACCCTAGCTTGTGGCTGGGGCTCTGGGACCACTGTAGCCATGTGTTCAAACCTGGAACGCACACATACCCACATAGAGTAGATCCTTGCTCAGTCCCGAAGGTCCCCTTAGGGGTCAGTGATTCCAACCTCTTCTGATAGCGAAAGTTCCTGCACTTAGTGTAGACTTCGGCAGGGCTGGATCCCAGAACTCTTCCTGTCCTGGGGAAAGGCCTTGCGTTCTTGACTTGGCCTTTGCCCCTCTGGACCCTGGGTTCCCCTCCTGGGCTCAGGAGTCAGTCACTGCTGCAGGATGAGAGGGAGGTGAGGAAAAACACGGGAAGGGGCAGAGAGAGTGGTAGATCCTCCAGGGCCAGGGCTGCAGGTGCCCAGTGACAGAGAAAACCATCTCAGAAAGCGTTTGGGAGGCTGTATCAGCCCTATCGCTTGTTCTGGCCAAACCAGCTCCTTCCCTCCCAACCGGAGGGAGCTGGCTGAGGAAATTCTCCCACGGTGCTACCCAAGTCTGTGACTTCTGGAGGCTTCCAGGATCTGTGTCAGCCTGCAGGCCTGCCTGCTCTTTCCTTTCTTGTAGCCAAAATGCTCCGGGACAGCCCCAGTGTGGCAGGATCAATTCTCAGAGGAAGTCCTCACTCCCCTGGTAGTTTTATTTTCTTATAAATTCAGCCTTTTTGGTAGTAGGCAATTCCCTGGGGCTTCCTCCCACCCCGCCCCCCACCTAAGGATGGCTCAGTCACCTCCTTTCATCTCCCAGGATCAACAACCCCCTCTTCTATCTACTTCTGCTGACTCCCTATCAAGTGGGAATTTTATTGATGGGCTTTCCCGGGAATGAAACACTGTCACTAAATGATCTGGGGGAAGAGGGCAGTTCCTGAACCCAGTCTGCCTCTAGGAATTAATCGTCTCATCTTGAAAGGTGCCTTCAGTCTCTCTTGTTCGCCGGGGCAGCCAATTGATCTCAGGGACCCTCCATTAAAGCATCTCCTTACCCCAGTCTCTCCTGTATGAACCCACCCTGGTACGATCTGTGCCTCGGAGCAGGCCTTGGAGGCTACAGTCCCTCGTTCTCAGCTCCGGGCCCACAAACTCTAGCCACCAGTGATTCACAGCAGCCAGGACTGACACCAAGCCAGACAGACTGGCTGCCATTCTCCGGGTCTGACCTGTGCTCGGGGTCTCTTGGGTAGCTTGCTTCCTGGTGGTCATAGCTCAGGGGCCAGCTGGCCCCAGAGGAAGAAGAATGGTGAGGGAGAGGAGGTTGGAGGTGGCAGTGGAGTTCACCGAGTTTGTGAGGAGGATGTTCAGGAAGGCCAGGACCCAGGAAGGTCCCAGCCAAGGCGACACGTGTAGGAACCCCACAGTCCCCTCCCCTGGCCTGTGGATTCCTGGGTGGGACAGTATGGCCAGTGCTGGGAGCCAGAGAAATCTTAGAGTCACTGCTTGAGGGAGAGAGGGTTCCAAGCAGATAGCGGCTCTGGAAGGTAGATGGGGTCTTATTGATGAGGGGATCCAGTGAAAAGATGGGGTACACATGGGTGGTGAGGGGGGAAACCATAAGTTATAGACCTTTCTTTTTTCCTAGTGTGGGGGGCTCAGGGTTGCAACCTGGGACCTTTTCCGCCCACCCCTCCCACCCCCTCTCTCCACCCACAAGCCTCTGCGTGGGCTGTGGTTAGTGGTGGGGAAGTGTGAACTCAGAAGAGAGAGGATGGAAACTCTGCACAGAGGTCAAGGGCAGTGTGGGGTGGGTCAGGACGGAAGTCGGAGACCCCCTGTACCCTGAGCCTAGCCTCCTGCCCCCAGAACCAGCAGGCCCGGGGCCTCCTCCTTCAGGCTTCTCACCCTCCCTACTTCCTTCCCTCAAGTCTCCTTCAGCCTGATACCCAGAGCACAAAAAAATTAACCCTGAGCACTTGTGGCTGCGGGGCGCCCTGAGGGTGGGCAGGGGTTCGGCTGGCCTCGGGGACCGCGGGTTTTGAAGGCATTTCCAGCCTTGTGCCTGCCGGTTGGGCCCAGAGCTAAGAACCGCTCTGGTTGTCATTCTCCCCACAGAAGACAAGCGCATCCCCCTCCCCCTCCTCACCGAGTGGTTTTTGTTGTTCTTTGTCTGAGCTTTGGTTTGGTTTTTGTTTTTTAAGACAGAGCACATAGCCCAGGCCGACTTGCTGTGTAGCCGAGGATGACTTTAAATCCCGTTCTGCCTCTCCCTCCATGTGCAGACATTCCAGCACGGGCCGCCAACTGGGTGTTTTTGCTTTTCTTTTTGAGACAGGGTCACACCATGTATCTCTGACTGTCCTGAAACTTGCTATGTAGACCAGGCTGGACTAGAACTCACAGAGTGCTATATAGCCCAGGCTGGCCTTTAATTTATGGTGGTCCTCCTGCCTCTCCTTCCCAAGTGCTAGGATTATAGACATGAGCCACCACATCCAGCATGCTAAATAAATCTTAAACCAGTATCTTTTTTTTCTTTTCTTATTTTATTTATTTCTCTTCTCTCTCTCTCTCTCTCTCTCTCTCTCTCTCTCTCTCTCTCTCTCTCTCTTTCTCTCTCTCTCTCTCTCTCTTTCTTTTTTTTTTCTTTTCCTGGAGCTGAGGACTGAACCCAGGGCCTTGCACTTGCTAGGCAAGCACTCTACCACTGAGCTAAATCCCCAACCCCATCTCTTCTCTCTTTTTATCTACAGGTCCTTTAATATATATTATGGCTTCCATTGTTGTGTCTTTATGCTTTATGGAACTTCTTAGTGTGTGAACAAGTAGTTCTCTGTTTCTTTTAAGCCAGTATTTAAAAAAAAAAAAAAAAAAAAAAAAGCCCCAAAGTGGGCTTTCTCATGATGTCCACTTCACTCTCATAAACATGAGGCATAAAAAGTTCAGGAACTAGGGAAGGGCAGTCCAGGCAGGTCCTAGCAAGCAGGGTGATGAGGCTCACTGTTTGCCTGTTCAGGTGGTTCTGCAGGTAGGAGGCCTTTTATACAAGGGTGACCATGTGATTTGTTGACCAAATTGCATCACTTTTGAAAGTGAAAGGGGACACTATTAATTATGCAACTCGTGTGAGCAAGGGCAGGCCTGGGCAGACAAGGGCCCCTGGTTCCTGTCCAACTGTGGGCTGCTCAGTCCCGCTGTGTCTGGGGAAGCTTCTGGACCCATAGCTGTCTGGTGCTGCCTGGTAGAGGCTGCCATGAAGAGCTCAGGTCTGGGGACCACAAGTCATAGCTGGTCGAGGAGCATGAAGGGCTCAAGGCTCCGGAAAGGAAGTGGTAGATCACTGGCTTGTTGCAAAGCGACTTCCTCCTCCGCCAGCCCGCAACCTCAAGTCCGCTCCACGGCCTGGTGCCTGTGGTCCCCTCCCTGAGGGTCTGGCAGGCGGGAAGACTGATGTTGGGTGTGCCCGTGGGTGGGTGGAAAGTTTGGCCCCTAAATTCCCCTGCTGGGTGGGGTGGCTGGGGCAGCTAGGGGCAGCCAGGGGTAAGGATGGACAGGCTGGGAATGCTGGGTTTCTGGTTTTTCCCCCGGTCTGCATCAGATGATGGCTCTGACCACAGGACAGCTATAGTCTTATTCTTTCCCCAGCCTTTACACTGCACAGGACCTGACTTTACCCCTGTCCCTAATCCTGACCCCCAACTGTGTCCATAATCATGGCCACAGAAGAACTACCAGCCCTGTACCTATCCCAGTTTTCATCCTGACTTGAAGCTAGTCTCCAAGTCTCACCCCGTCCCTCCGGGCTGGCCGGAGTCCTGAATTCTCCCTGCGCTAATGCAGCGGGGCCTGGGTTGGGGTGTGTGTGTGTGGGGGGGGTGTCTGTGTGGCTCCCAAGCTCCTTTGAGTCAGAAAGAGACTTTGGAGAGGATGTTCAGGTCTTTGACCTTCCTGGATTGCAGTTGCTTTATTAGTGACCGTGGGGACAGTTGCTTTTGGGAGGGACTTTGAGATTCCTGGATTACTGGTGGGAAGGATGAATGACAGGTTAAGTCAAGGAAGAGTAGAAGCCCTCTCCCCTGCCAGCTCTGCCATTTGTGCTCCGGCGTCTCCACAGATGCCAACCCAGTGGGCTGAGGCGCTGAGAGCAAGTGTGTTGAATCACTGCTCCACGCCGCCGCCGCCGCTCCACAGCCTCGCACCAGCTCTTAACTGCTCTGATCTTCCGCTCCCTTGCATGTCTGTCTCCCTCTTCACTCCCCCCGGGGCAGGAGTGGTGGCTCTCGAAACACCTGGGCTTCCTCAAAGACCCTCAGCCTCTTCTTCCTCCTCATTCTCTTCTGCTCTCCCACTGTATTTCTCCTGCTTTCTTGAGGTTTGGGGTGTGTGTGTGTGTGTGTGTGTGTGTGTGTGTGTGTGTGTGTGTGTGTAAAATGCTGTGTGTGTAATGCTTAGTAGCTGGAACTTTGGAATCTCGGAGGCTGGTGCTCTTCTCCAGCTTTAGGACATGGCCAAGTGGCTTTACCTCTGTGGACCCATCTTCTTACCTGTGAGGTAGATTGGCATAGGGCAGTCATGAAGCCAAATGAAGTTCGCAGCACTGTGCCTGACCCATGACCAGCATTCATATAGACCCAGGGCAGCATGTGCCGCTTGCTGCTCACTTGACCTGTTCCTCCTCAAGTCATGATGGTGGAAAAACCTCTCAGGTGTGGCCAGGAAGTCAGGAAGCAGGGTGTCTATTTAGATGCACATGTGAGGCTCTGGGTTGTGTTGTCAAGTTGAGATTTTTTTTTCCACTGAATTGGCAGTGTTTTCAGTGAGTCATTCTGATGGCGTAGCATCTTCAACCATCAGTGTGTGAGGAGAGAGATGCCCAGAGAAATGGCATGTCCCACAGGACTGTGAGGTGTCAGGAGGAGGTCAGAGCTCTTCATTCTGTCTAGGGTCTCAGAGGTCTTTGTGAGGGTGGCCTGGGGCTCTTGGAGGGCTGGAGCTTGCTGCAAGACCCCAGTGTCAGCTTGGAGAGAGGCTGAGCACGCTGAGGTAGGGGCTTCTTCCTTCTGTTTCTTGAAGCGCCGTCTTTTTCACTCCAAGGAGAGTGCCAGGCACTGGGCTGTGGAAACTAGGGTGGCTCCTGACAAGGGAGCCAGCAGGGGAGAAAGGGGCCCGGGGAACTGAACTGACAGGTGAGATCTCCCAGGCAGAGTGTGAAAGAGACGACCTGTATCTGTCACCTGAGATACAGCAGGGACAGTGGATGGGAAAAACAACTGTGCTCTGTGGACAGAGGTGACACTCCACAACTGCCCCTTCCAGAGTTCCTTCTGGCTCCCGCTGCTAAGTGGACAGCATGATCCCGTCCCCCAGAAGTCCCCATTCTGACTAGGAACACGCAGCTCCTACTCTCAGACGGCTTTCAGTCTAAAAGCTGAAGCCTCCCTGGAGAGTCCCCGGTTTGGTGTGGGACATTCCTGGACTTCCCACTCTCACAGGAAGATGCCATTTCTTCCCACAGACTTGTGGGATGAAGGTGGCGGGGCAGAGGATGCACTTCACAGACATGAGGCCTGAGATATGGTGGCATGGTAGCCATGGAGCCCAAGTCAGGGTTCCCTGGACGACTCCTGTCTTGGAAGATGGGTGATAAGGCCTGGCTATCCCTAAGAAGTAGGTTTAGCTCCCGGGTGCCTTATTGTAATTGGATTAGAAGTAGTGTTGCACCGTGACCCCAGATTGGTAAGAGTGCCAGCCCCTAAGCCAGAGTGGGGGGCACAGGCATTGCCTGTTCTCAGAAGCTCCGGCCTCCGTGCCTCTGCTCTCCTCAGAGACACACTCCCTGCCTCACACTCCTCACACTCGCCTCATGTATCTCCAGCCACCTGCCCTTACTGGTCCCTCTGGGTGCATCATTGCAGGAGCTCTCGCCCTGGGAGGAGATTCACCCTCCAAAGCGTCTGTTACTCTCCCACCACCCAGCTTCTGAAGTTTCAGGGCCCCTTCTGGAGTTGTAGAGGCGGGAGAGCTAAGGAGAGCCGCACCCTTGCCTTCAGAACATAGATGCTGGCAGGTCCAAAGGCCTTGGTAGAACTCCTGTGAGGTCAGAATTGCTCCTGGGACAGGGCAGCAGCTCACAGGGAGGAAGTGGGCAGTGCTAGGGTGAAAACTTTCACGGCTCTGTGTTTGGGGTGCCCAGAGGAAGAAAAGGGTCCTTTGCTGAACTTAGGAGTGAGTCTGCCCCAGCTCCATGGGAGTGGGTGTTGAAGAGGCTGCAGGAAGTGAACAGGAGAAAAGAACTGGATGGAAGCCGTTTCTGAACCTGTACCGAGTAACAAGCCTGAACAAAGAGCCGGGAATAGAAATACGACGATACGGTTCCCAATGAAAGCCCACAGCAAGGCAGCCTTTGAGAAATGCTCAGTTTGGGTGGCACACCCTGCCAGGTGGGCAGTGCCCAGCAGCTTCTCATAAGGATCTGAATGGAAAGGGCAGGATGAGTGTGTATAGTGAGGTCCTGAGAGGTCTGAGACTAGGAGCACCAGGCAGCTTTTAGGTAGAGACAAGAGCAGTGGGCCTGGAATGGGGACACCTTGGAGGGGAGCCGGGTGTTGCCTAAGGAATGGCTTCATCACAGACTGTGCAGAAGTGGTCCCCAGTGTTTTCAAGGTTGAGGGTATTTTTTTAACACTTTTTTTTTTGAGACAGGGTTTCTCTGTGTAGTTTTTGGTGCCTGTCCTGGATCTCACTCTGTAGACCAGGCTGGCCTCAAACTCACAGAGATCCGCCTGGCTCTGCTTCTCGAGTGCTGGGATTAAAGGCGTGTGCCACCACCGCCCGGCTGAGGGTGTTTTTTATGGGTCCCTCTCTCCCAACACACAGATCGTTTGTTTATGGTACTGGATATTGGGTATTACAATTTTGGGATTGTAGCCAGTATTGAACCCAGGACCTCCTGCTTGCTAGGCAAGTGTTCTACCATAGAGTTACATTTTGCTTTGTATTTTGAGACAGGCTCTCACCAGGCTAACCCCGAACCTGTTCTGAATCCCAGGCAGTCAGCTTCTGCATCAGCCTCCTGCGCAGCAGGGATTGTGGCCTTGGCACCGGGAGCCTGTGCTAGTGTGCACTCTGAGAAAACGTGCGCTGTCCATGTAGTACGTGGCTTTCTTAGGAATCTGTTCTGTCATGGCAGTTTCTGCACCTATTAGGAAAACATTCGCACACACCTGTATGAACTATGGTCAGCCCCTAAATGGAATTCAGGGACCCCTTGGAATCTTTCTATTCCACATCCTTGCCCTAGGCGGGGAACCTGGGCTCCAATGTGGGGAACGTCTCTGGAAGCAGAGGGAGGCTCCCCCAGAAGAGGTGGACCCTAAAGGCAGAGAGGAATCCTGCAGCTGGGGTAGGTGCTGAAGATGCAAGACAGAGCGCGTTCTTTTCTCCGGCTGGGGCAGAAGAACCACATCCCTTTTCTTCCCCACCCCTTGCCCTCTGACCTCAGGGTGAACTTGGCGCTGGCCTACACAGAACTGACGGAGGAGCTGGGTCGGCTTCGGGAGTTGAGTTCCCTGCAGGGGAGGATCTTGAGGACTTTGCTGCAAGAGCAGGCTCGAAACGCAGGTGAGACTGCCAGAGCCGGGCAGGCCCCCAGTGTGGGGAGCAGGGGCGCTGGGCCCAGGAGCCACCTCCCCATCCCTGGGTGGGCATTGTCCCCGCAAGCCCCTGGCTCGCCACTCCACCTCGCTATCTCTTTCCCAGGCCAAAGGCACTCGCCGCTGTCACAGCGCCACTCCCCGGCCCCCGCGTGCCCCTCGCCCTCCCCGCCTGCCAGACCGCCGCCCTGTGCCCCGTGCCAGTCCCCCGCCACGCAGCGCCGCTCGCCGGTGCCCCCGTGCCCTTCGCCCCAGCAGCGCCGCTCGCCCGCCTCGCCCTCCTGCCCGTCGCCGGTCCCACAGCGCCGCTCGCCGGTGCCGCCATCGTGCCAGTCACCCAGCCCGCAGCGCCGCTCGCCGGTGCCACCCAGCTGCCCGGCCCCGCAGCCCCGGCCGCCGCCGCCCCCGGGCGAGAGGACGCTGGCCGAGCGCGCCTACGCCAAGCCGCCCAGCCACCACGCCAAGGCCGGCTTCCAGGGCCGCCGCAGCTACTCGGAGCTGGCGGAGGGCGCGGCCTATGCCGGTGCCTCCCCCGCCTGGCTGCAGGCCGAGGCCGCCACGCTCCCCAAGCCCCGCGCCTACGGCGGCGAGCTCTACGGCCCCGGCAGGCCGCTCAGCCCGCGCCGCGCCTTCGAGGGCATCCGCCTGCGCTTTGAGAAGCAGCCGTCGGAGGAAGAGGAGTGGGCCATGCCCGCCAGCCCGCCCAGTCCCGAAGCGGGCACCATCCGCTGCGCCTCATTCTGTGCGGGCTTCCCCATCCCGGAGTCACCTGCGGCCACCGCCTATGCCCACGCTGAGCACGCACAGTCCTGGCCATCCATCAATGTGAGTAGTGTCCTGCTTCCCTTAGCCGGGCTACCTTGAGGTGCCCAGGTGACAGCCTGCTCTCCCTCTGGAGTCCCACCCTGTTGCTTATCTTCATGCATGGTAGGCAGGGGCGACCCGCAAACACCCCCTAGCTTAATATAGACCTCCCTTTCCCTCTCCCTCGGTTTCCAGTTGGTAAGAACAAGCCCCCACCGCCACCTGCACTATTAAAAGTATGGTCCTCAAAGTGACAGTCCTAGCTTTGATTCCGACTCCACTGCGTAGTATCTGAAGGACCTCTTTCAAATTCTATCAGTTTTCTCATCAGCAAAATGAGGACCATGATGCTATCACAACCTCAGTGAGTTTTTAGGAGGCAATGATCCTAAATCAGTTCTTGGATTGTGATGGGTGTCTCAAGCATACTATTATGTTGGGGCCAAAGGACGGGGATACTAAAAGGGGCAGAACATGGACCCACACGAGACAGGCCTGCCTATCAAGTTCAAGCCTCAGATCCTGGGCTCTTTTCTGCATGATAACCCGTTTCAGAGCCCCATCATTTCACTGAAGTAATGAGTTTCCTGAATGCCATAGCTACCCCTTGCCACCTGGAAGGACCCGAATATATTCCAAAGCCAGACAGGAAATTATTTGGGGGCTGTACCTTGTTTGCGGTTGTCCAGTGCTTTAAGTTAGCTGTGCCCCGGCGACTCTGGAGGCAGGTCAAGGTCTTGGTTTCCCTCTTTCCTGGTGTGCCCCAGCTAACTGAACAGTGACTCTCATTCACACTTTCTAAGACCTATGCCCTGGGCAAAGCACTAGGTGTTGGGCTGGTGGCTATAGTGTGTGTTGAGGATGGTGCTGGAGCAAGGATAGCCAGACCCCTTCTAAACGCTGTAACCCTCGCTGTTGCGAATCCTAGGAAAGAGCAGGCTGGGGTGTGAGGCAGACTCTAAGTGGTGTCATTCTCTTCCTGCAGCTACTGATGGAGACGGTGGGCTCTGACATCCGCAGTTGCCCCCTCTGCCAGCTGGGTTTCCCTGTTGGGTACCCAGATGATGCCCTCATCAAACACATTGACTCCCACCTGGAGAACAGCAAGATCTAGGGCGCCTCTCCCCCAGCTGGCTGTTTCTCTGCTCTCTCATCACCCCCCCCCAAACACTCACTTTGAATGCTGCATGAATCTCGTGGGGGGCCCCTGCCCCTTGCGGTCCCCAGATACCTCCACTAGCTACCGAGTCAATGTGTGTGTGCCGTCTTCCCTGGTCCAGGCACCACTCAGCTCTGGCTCTTTCCTGGAGGTTGACCAAGGCTCTCTCTATCTTCCTGGTTTCCTCTGGGGAGTGGGAATCTGGTCTGGGATGGGGAGGACAAACCCTCCACCTCTCTCTCTCTCTCTCTCTCTGCCTTTCTGTTTTTCAACAAAGTCGGATCCAAGAAGAAGTCTAGTGCTTGTGGGAGGGAGAGGAGGAGGGGTCAAGAGCTCTGGGAGCCCCTTCCCAGTATCCGTCTTTCCTGGGCAATGTTCTTCCAGGGAAGACCTCTCGAGAGGGTCTCAGAGCCTGCCCTGCACACTGATGCCGGCCCTCTCTCTCATGCTCAACCAGCCTGGGGCTCGTGGTATTGGGGAAGGAGGCATCTTTTTTTCTCACTAGTCCCTGCAGGCCAGCTCTGTTCTCCCCCTCTGCCCACCCTGGGGAACAGGGAAGGTGGCGGAGGGGTGGGAGGACCCTGCAGGCCTTCGATGATCCAGTCCAAAGGGACTGCCTTGAGGCTGGGACTCCTGGGCCATCACCCTCAGTCTGGGTGACCGTCTGGCAAGCCTCACAGGCCTGGGCCCTTCCAGAGTCCCTGGCACTAAGGTGCAGATCCTCAAGGCCGATGCCTCCATGCTCCCCCACTGCAGCTCCTGACACCATAGGTACCCTGGAGCCCAGGTGTGACTCAGCCTGTGTTTGCTGGGTGGGTGTGATCAGCCCCTCCCTCCCAGGCCAGAACCTGAGAATGGGCCCTGGGTGCTGTGGAGATCAACTTCAAAAGAGCTAATCCCCTTCCCATACCCACCCACCCACCCCTATATTCCCTCTGTGAAATCTACCTCAGAGCCGTCCCCTCAGAAAGACAGGGGAGCGGGAGGCTGGGGCCCCAGGCTGAGGTGGGAGCCTCCTGAGGGAGCCTGCTGCCCACTATGAATCCACCCCTCACGTTGAGCCTCCCTGGGGCCTTGGCCAGCCGGTGGCAGTGAAAACCACTGTCCACCGCATGTACCATTCTGATCCAAATCTTCCAGGCCCTCTCCCCACACCCCTCCTTCCTCTGTGCAGGGGGTGAGGGGTGTGTCAGCAGGGAAGGGGCCAAGGACTCCAGAGACACATCATTGTACCCTGAGTGTTCCCCAGGGAGGGGACATGGGGAAGGGGGCCTGTAGAGGGGAGAGAGGGCCCTGTGCTCTCTGAACAAGTTGAAAGTCCAAATAAAACTTACCTGTTCCATCTGCGCTCAGCCCGTGCTTCCGTGGGTGAGGGGCCTTGACCCTCACTTGGAAGGTCTTGAAAACTGTCTCGGGGACCGTAGCTACTGTGGAGCTGGCACTAGAAAGTGTGGGTGGCCCACATTCTATGATTCTGTTGATCGTACTGACAGCTGGTCACACATGGCTTCTGTCTTCATTTAGAACAGGTCTGAAGCACTGGGAAGAGGCCAGGCTCAGCTGCTGCTACCTCAAACACCCCAAACTTAGGAGGTCAGAGCAGGGTCATGAACTCACGACGTTTGCCTCAGCCTTGACTGTGCACTCTGGAGAAAAAAGAAAAAACACGTCTGAGTTATTCATTCATTGACTCTGGTTATCTTTCATTTCCACAAGACTTTTTTTTTTTTTTTTTTTTTTAGCTGAATGGTCACTTAAAAGCAGAAAAAGGGACTTGGGGAGGACTCTAAGTGTGGCTTAGTGGGAGGACTCTTGTCCAGCATACACAAAGGCCCTGGTCTGAACCCCTGGTACTGGAAAGAAAATACAGACACAGGGCATGGCAGCACACGCCTTTAATCCCAGCACTCAGGAGGCAGAGGCAGGCGGATCTCTGAGTTTGAGGCCAGCCTGGTGTACAGAGTTGTTCCAGGCCAGCCAGGGCTACACAGAGAAACCCTGTCTTGAAAACAAACAACAACAAAAGAATAAGAAAACTGCAGGACATGGAGGCCTTTGTTGGTCAGTGGTTGAGTTCAGCTCTAGAACATGGCAGCTGTCCCTCCACATGTTATAGCAAGGGCCAGCCTCCCCAACTCCTGTGTTGAAATAAGCAGCTGCTGTCTGCAGCCAAGACCTTCCTGAGGGCCAGGAAAGGTAGACCACCTTGCAGATGTGACTCATAGCCCTGAGAAAGAAGGATCCTAGAACATCTGGTATATGAGTGCTCAGTGGCCCCCATGGCTCTGGAAGCACCGACTAGTGTGACACAGAGACTAAGGGGTGTCCTGGGGACACAGAAGGCAAGGGAAACCCTGGGCCTTGAGAAGAGGCGAAGGAGGGCCTGAGTGAGCTGGCACACGGGCACAGGCAGACCGGGTAACCTGACCGTAGCCCTTGAGGGTGACCGAGGGTGGGAGGGAACCCAGGTATCCTGTCTGGACTTTCTCCCCTGTCATCAGGGTGAAGAGAACATGGGGACACAGGGAGCAGACTCTGGCAGCTTGTCTCCCTGATTTCTAGGGACCCGGGAAAGGCTCAGGTACAGGGCAGAACGTTGCTGGGGGCTGGAAGGGAAGGCGGAGGAGGGAAAGGCAGTGTGCGTCCATCTAGGTCCCCTCCACAGCTGCAGACTTCCGTCTGACACTCCTGAGAGGGCTGAGAGCAGAAGAGCTGGGGAACCTGCGACCCTCATCCCTCCCACCTCTCCAGCAGGACTGTGATCACACAGGACATTTGCTCTGAACTGTTCTCTGGAGCCCAGAGGGCAGCGGGAGGGGGGCTGAGAATTTCAGGGTTCAGAGACCAACGGGTTACCATTTCTAGGCTCCTGGGAACAAGGTGGAAGATTGGAGCAACTTCCACTTGAGTGAGGTAGAGGGGAGACCCCTGAGAGGCGAGAAGAGATCCTGTGGCCCCACTTGCTCTCCTCAGCACACACACAAAGACCACGACCACGTGTAGGGGTGAGGGCGAGAACTCAGCAGATACCAAGTTAGCCAGGGCATGTCTCTGTCCAACGTTCTCTCCAGTTCTGCCCTGCCCCACAGGATTTCCCCAACCGGAGGCCCCAGGTCGTGCAGACCCTTGCCTCTGTCCTAGGTCCGTGTATAGGCTGTGGCAGGTGATCTGCTGAGGGAGGTGACAGCTCTTTGTAAAACCTGGGGCCTCTGTTGAGAAGGAGCTGATTGATGATAAAAGGAGGGGTGTGTGCAGGAGTGAGCCATGTTAATGAGAAACACCTCACCCAGCTGATTAGGGCTGAGGAAGACAGGGGGTGGGGTTTTGACTCGGTGACATCTTTATAAGGCGCGCGCGGGGGGGGGGGGGGGGGGTGAGGGGGAGCAGGCCGTCTCTCCTTCAGCAAGAATATATAAACAGAGCAACTTTGGCCACCACAGAGAGAATTGAGATCGTGAAAGAGAAGCATTAAAGGGGAGGGAAAGGGGGGGTGCTCAATGGGAGGAGTGGGACAGGGTGACAAGCTAAGGACAGAGAGCAGGGAGATGTGAAACCCTCTGGCAATGTTCTCTTCTTGTCCTTCCTCTACATCCGTTCCTGTGACTTGGAGATTCTCACTGGTCCACAGAGCCCCCCACCCCATCCACAAGTTCCCATGAGATCTAATTCCATCCCCAGGGGTTTGCGAGCCCAGTGTTATAAAGTTGCTGGCCCTGCCCTGCCCAGGAGATGCCTGGGCAGGAAGCTCTGCTTTGAGGTCCTGGTCCACGGCACTCACCAGCATCTATGCCGTTACCAGGACACAACTCTATGTTCATGGCCTGAGGCCTGGTGGGACTGAGGGCAGGAGGGGCAGGTGCAGTGAAGGACTTGTAGACCCACCCCGTGCCTACCCTGTCCTTGAGACAAAAGCAGACGTCTCTGAGGATGCAGCCTCAACCTGCAGCTTTGGCCGCTCCAACTGCCGCCTTGGCCAAGGGCAGAGCTACTAGGCGCTTTTCATAGACGGTCCAGGCTCCTGTGTTAGTGTGGGCACAGGGGAGGACAGGGAGGAGCTGGGGGACAGGATGGGTGTCACCAGCACCTCCAGCACCCCCTCATTTGCATTGCCACCGACACCCTGCTTGACCAAGAAGATGGAGCCAGAAATAACAAGGGGAGCAAGTGGTTCCCTTGGGGGGATGACTTTGAGGGGGCTCCTTCCCTGCCTCCAACTCTCCCACGGTGCCAGGGACAGGAGGTCAGCCTCACAGCTGGCCTGGGGGAGAGGAAGTGTACCCACTGTTGCTCATCCACCCTCACACTAAGCAGATGACACCCATCCCAGCCTCTCGCTGCTCTCAACCCCACACACCCCAGCACGACTCCACATCCCTACCCCGTGAGCCCCTGTCTCTGAAACCCCTCTTGCTACTGGGAAATCCTCCCAGCTGGGAAGTGTCCCCTGTCCATGTTCCCCAGTCTGTGGCCTGTCTTCCCAGTCAGACTGAACCTTCCCCAGGTCCTGAGCCTGACTTCCGTTGGTCGGTCCGTGAGCGACGCCAGAGGACATTCCACACAGGAATCAGCTCAGCCAATATCAGCAGAGTGTATGGGTAGAGTCTACGGCCGGAGATGAATCCGAGCTCAATGTGAAGTCCCAGTCCCTAGAACTGGGTAGTCAGGGCCCAGAGCAGCCTTCCCTCCTGGGGCTCCCAGTTCTGATGGAGAGCGTCTTTATTTAAATAAGGTCTCCACATGTTGGGCCTTGCCTTCATGAGATCCTCAGAGGGACCACTCCTGTTGGCCTTGTATGTGGTAGGAAGAACTCTACCACTGGGCTGCCCGGCCATTTTTCTTTCCTTGACCAAAAGACTGTGGCTTATACCCTCACCGACACCTGTGATGTTCAATTTGTGTACATTAAATTCACTTCTTCCCCGGAGGAAGAGGGTAGAGCAAGAGGGTGGGGGCACAGGAGACAGTGGGCAGGGTGGGCCACGATCAGTAGGCTCTCTTCCTGGCAAGAGGTCCTGGGACCCAGGAGGATGAAAAGGTGGGGGTACAGGCAGAGCAGAAGGGCTGGGCAGGGAAACCAGGGCGCGAGAGACAGCAGGGAGAGCTGTGAACGCACTGTGGGAAGGAGTGAACAATGAGCTGAGAACCCCTTCGCTCCCCCTCTAGAGATGCTATTTTGGGGGGAGAGAATATATGCAGTGCAGGGCCAGTGGGGGAGGCTGCCAGCTTCCCCAGGGGTCAGCCAGCTGCTTGCTGCTTTACTCTCCCGAGCGAACGTCTTCCTTGGCCGCAGCAGTACCTTCTATTACCTCTTCCTCCCTTGGAAAAGCCTTTTTGTTCCTGAGTGAGATGCGGAGGAATGAGCCAGGAGGTTTGGAGCTGGCCTTGCCCGCCTCCCCTGATGGTCCCTGTGGCCTGATAGAGGGAAACATCTCTCGTGTCATTGAATCCTTGGTTGAAAATGTAGACGGTCCTGTGACTGGAGACAGAGCATAGCTCCTCAGGCTGCACACTCTGGGCTTCCTGAAGCTTTCCTTAGGCACTCCGGACCCTCACCCCCTCTTAGCATCAAACGTGGGCCTTGGGTGGGTGTTGAGGCAGGGCTGTGTCTAGAAAGCCTGAGGAAGCTCATCTTGCTCCTTGGCCTCCAGGGGGCCAGATGGAGTGTGCCAACAAGTAGAGCCATTGTTTGACACAAAGGGGGGCGTTCTTGCACCCCAGCTCAGCTCTCAAGGGCCCTGACTCATTTTAGGATGAAGGCTCTAATGCCCTGTGGGTTTCTGTGGTGGCTTGAGGCAGAAGGAGAAAAGGCAAGCAGAGCGTATGACTGGAGGCGAGTGGAGACTTTTATTTTCATTTTTGGAGCTTGGTCATCTGTCTCCCCAAAGGTGTGGATTCACCTGGAGAAGAAGGTTGCCTGGGGGGGGGGGGGGGAAGAAAGCCCACCTCCTAGCTCAGCACCAGTCGTAGCAGAAGGAGCTTCAGGAAGAACAAAGGACTACATAGCCCTAACCCTGCGCGGCCCGCGGTGCTCCCTTCCTCCCTCTAAGGCTAGGGAGTTTGGCCTGGCACCTGCACAATGGGGGACAGAGAGAGTCGAGTTGGGCACAGTGAGCCACGATGGGCAGGCCGTCAGAAGACTGTAGACAGGACGGTAGGTCCAGGTGTCAGAGCAGGGATGGGCCCCAAGCCATACCACACCAGGGACTTGACTTAGAAGGCCGTAGGACCAGACCTCCTGCCTTCTCAGGTCCTCCCGTGCTGGGTTCTTGTCTTCAGGCCTTTCCTCTTCCGCTTCACATACTAGGAGGGGTGGGGCAGAAAGAAAGCAGCACCCGGCCGGCCGGCG